GATCCATTCAAGGGCCTGGCATGTCTTGATGGGGAGAAACAAACAGGAAAGTTCTAAGGGAGGAGGTGGGCTCCCCATCCTTCTTGTTCTGGAAGTTCTCCATCACCTCGTTTCTGTGATCTGGCCTTTAGCTTCTTTATGACTGGCTATATCCCGCTGGGATTTGAGTTTGCTGTGGAGCTCACATACCCAGAACCAGAAGCCATGTCATCTGGCTTCCTCAACGTGTCTCCCCAGGTAAGGCTCTCATTTAGTGGCCCCAAAGCAGTGGCTCTTGCTTCCCTGCCCGGCCTGGCTGGCACAGGCATTGCATTGTGGCAGCTCAGTTCCCCCTTGGGCTAGTTGGCTGAGCGCTTATTTCCACTCTTATTTGTGCCTTTCCAGGTACTTGGGATCATTTTCATCACCTCCCAGGACCAGATTATCGAGAACTATGGACCCATGCCTGGGAACATCTTTCTGTGTGTGTTCCTCACCCTTGGAGTAGCCCTCACTGGTGAGTTGGAGCCTCAGGACAAGATGACACTCAGGCTGCCCATGGGCTTAGGTTGTTGGCAATTTGGGACCCCAGGGTCGTTGTTTTTTTTTTATAATTTTATTTATTTTTTCCCCCAAAGCCCCAGTAGATAGTTGTATGTCATAGTTGCAAATCCTTCTAGTTGCTGTATATGGGACGCGGCCTCAGCATGGCCGGAGAAGCTGTACGTCGGTGAGCGCCCAGGATCCGAACCCAGGCCGCCAGCAGCGGAGCGCGAGCAGTTAACCGCTAAGCCACTGGGCCGGCCCCCAGGGTCTTGAATGAGCATACAGATTGGGGGCACACATGCAGCGGGAACGGCTTATTTGGAAATCTGTTCGGGAGGCAGTAGCATGTTTTGGTGGGATGAGCATGGGCTTTGGTGCCAAAAGACCCTCGTTTGAATCCCAGACTGTGACTCTGACCTCCACAGCTGTTTGATCTTGGCCAAGTGAACCAACTTCTGGGAGCCTCACTTTCCTCATCTGTAAAATGGGGATCGTTGTGAGGATTAGAGCAGTGTGTGCAAACTCCGTGGCAAATATAAGTGATCTATAAATGAAGGCCAGTGTCATCATTGGCTTCTGCCTGTCAGGGACAGCAGTGATCCCCAGTTTTTATCAAGTTGGTTGATGGTACCCCCAGCTCCCTGGGATATCTGAAGTAGGTCTGGGATACCTGTGACCATAAGGAAAATGAGGCCTCCCTCTCTTGGATGAACTTGACCATTGGTCGGCTTCATAACTCTGTGTCTCTGTTGCTTTTTCTTCTTGATCCCTCGACCTCAGCATTCATTAAGGCAGATCTCCGGAGGCAGAAAGCGAATAAGGAAACCCCTGAGAATGTGAGTATGGGGGAGCTTGCTGGGCAGAGTTCTGGGTTCTGGGCATTGGCTGAGGATGTGGCAGCAGGGGTGGGGGTTGGGGGAGCTCCCGAAGTGGACTGGTTTCGTGGTGGCTGTGAAACCAATGCAACTCACAAACATGGCGCCCAGAGAGTTTCCTCAGTGGGTGTTTCAGCACTGCTTTTCTGCTGCTCTTTCCCGGGCTCTTCTCCCACTTCCTGCCCTTCTCCTGGCCTCCCTGCTCTGGTCCCCAGAGCACATCACTGTTGTCACAGTCTGCTGAGTAGTGTCCACCCCAGATCCTGACACAAGTCCTGAGGCCCTGGCTCTGCTGCTTTCAGCCTGGGGTCAGTGGCTGGAGAGCAAAGGTGGAAGCCAGGCTCGACCATTCTGTCCTGGTGGTGATGGCCCCAAGGCAGTGGCTCTCCTGGCATGTGACGACCCCTTAGGCAGTGGGATGGAGACGGAGGACTGGAGCCAATGGAGCCAGTAGGGCTTTAAAAGGACAGTTCAGGAAGCAGGACCTGATGGTGGTAGAAGGGGACAGGACCAGGAGTATGATCTAGAACAGAAAAGTGTTTCCCATCTGCTCCAACCAGGTGGGAACTATTTTAACCAAAATGTTAAGTATCAAATCTGAGCTATATGAAAGGAATATCAAATCTTAGAAGGAGTAAAAGTGGAATATTTCTTAAAAAATAAACAAACACCTAAAACCTATTACAGAGGTAATACATGTTCTTTGTAGAAAAACTGAAAAAGACAGAAAAGTGTACAAAATTTAAAAATACCCTGTAATAGCATCATCTAGAGATGAGATGCTGTGTTTTTCCATGTACTTATACTCATCTATAGCCACATATAATATATATCCATGGATATATATATATATTTTTTTACACAAAAATGGAATCTTCTGTTTCTTTACTTGTTGTGAACACTGTATCAGGTCATTAGTCTTTTACAACATACTTTTAATGAATGCACCATGTTTAATGAGTGCACATGTATAAACCATGATTTGACAGTTTTCCTGTCCATGGACATTAAGGTTGTTTCTAGTTGTTGTTATAAACAATATTGTGATTAATGTCCTGGAAGCTGAATTTTTGTGCATGTTCTTTTTTTTGTGAGGAAGATCAGCCCTGAGCTAACATCTGGCAATCCTCCTCTTTTTTCTGAGGAAGACTGGCCCTGAGCTAACATCCATGCCCATCTTCCTCCACTTGACATGGGACGCTGCCACAGCATGGGGGTCGGTGCGCGCCCGGGATCCGAACCGGTGAACCCCGGGCCGACGCAGCGGAGCACGCGCACTTAACCACTTGCGCCACCAGGCTGGCCCCTGTGCATGTTCTTAAGCACAGTATTTCCTTGAGAAATGAATCAGCGGTCAAGCACATTTTTAAGGCCCTGTTATATTGCTAAACTGTTCTCTAGAAAAGTACCATCGATACTACCAATTTATATGCTATAGCAGTGTATGAGTGCCAACACTGAGTATTTACCATTTTGAAAAATCTTTGCCAGTTTTCTAAGGCAAAAAACGGTATGTGAGGGACTGGCCGCGTGGTGTACTGGTTAAGTTCAGCATGCTCCGCTTTGGCAACCTGGGTTCACAGGTGCAGATGCCGGGCATGGACCTACACCACTCCTCAGCCATGCTGTAGCTGCGACCCACAGAAAAAGTAGAGGAAGACTGGCGACAGATGTTAGCTCAGGGTGAATCTTCCTCTGCAAAAAAATTTAAAAAAATAATTTTATCTGAAAGAGGTATATTTAGCATTTTAAGGATACATGTTGGCAGACAGGTGATGATCTTTAGTTCTTTACCATTTGTCTTCTGATATCGGGCTCTCGAGTTGGCAGGCAGCGGTGGGCAGCATGTGGCGGGAGGGGCGTAGGACAGGAAAAATTTAGTGGGGAGACAGGGAACACCTTGGAGCAGAAACGCTGTTCTCTAGCCAGGGTGAGGTCATGGTGTTGCCACTGTGGGGACGGGCGCTCCCCTGTGCCATGTACAAGGAAACATAATGATCTGCAACACTTTGGTGACTATATAGTGGGCCTGGGACAAAATGCCCGTAATAAAACGGGATAGATTTCTCGTGAAAAGGTTTCAATTTGGAATGTGACATATTGTGTCAAGTGATATGGGATTTTGCTGTGTTTACTTTAGAATCTGTGTTTACGTTGGCAGATATAGTCAAACAAGAAGAATGTAAAGGTCACCTACAGTCCTTGCACCCCGAGACAACCTAGGAACATTTTAGCCCACTTTTCTATGGGTGTGCTTGTGCACGTTTGGTTTTCTACCTACTTGTTTACTTAGTATAGCTTGACAGCCTTTCCTTTCCACAGTTGCATTTTACAGCCTCATATCTACATAAACGTATTTCCGTTTCCTCTCGTGTAGTGTTTAGGTTGTTCCCGTATTTCATGCTTCTTGCAGCCAGATCCTTGTGCACATGGACCGGGTTTGTTAGTCAAGGTTGGAGCTGTCGGCTCAGGCACCTTCTGTACGGAGCATTGGAAATAGCACTGAGTAGGAATACGAGACTTGAGTGTGGTGCTGGCGCTCAACTCTCTGTGTCCATGGATAACTCACTCTGCGTCTCTGGGCCTCACTTGTATCTGGGCCAGCTTAGTGTTATGGGGCAGTCAGAGTCATGCTGGGCTGACACCCAGGGAAGCCAGGGCTGTCACAGAGCATCCCTCCTCTGGAGCCCGTCCATCATTACACACCCCATGGCGGTCAGTGTAAGCGAGACCTGCACAGAGCACACGAATTCATTATCAGAGCCAGGGGAAGGCAGGGCACGCAGCAGACCTATCCAGAGCTGCTCTTCCTAATCTGTGAGGTGTATAGCTTTAGTAAAAAGAGACAGAACTTCTGGGATGGTGTAACGCCTGACTAAGAAAATCTTGGTTTGGTTTCCATTTTTCTTCCAGCTGATAGTTCTCAGCCACAGACGCAGTGGCTGTGCTTCCTTCCCCACTAGCCTGGGTTTCTGATTGCGATTTCAAGGTGATGGCTCTGCGGAGGCAGGCGTGTCTGTGTGCGTGTGTGGCAGAGATAGAGCCTGCCTGGTTGACTGAAGTAGGCTGCTAGTTGCCTGAGCGAAGGCTTCTCATGACCGAGGCTGACCTGGTGCCAGAAGGTTAGCAAGACTGAGGATGCGAAGGTTGGATTTCCACAGCTGTGGCCACTGCCAGGGACTGGCCCGGAGATACTCCCTGGGGAAGAAGCACCACTGTCGGATTGAGACTGGACTGCAGCTTGGCCCTGCACACCCTCCTCCAGCCGAGTGGTGTGGACTGTGCAGGGCTGTGCCTGGGCCCGAGGCCTTCTCGCTAACTAGAGCTAAGCAGCAAAGTGTTCCTTAGAACAGCAGACAAATGTGCAAGGTGGCAGTGTGCACCTGGGGGCCCTAGAGGATGATTTCCAGGCCATATTTAATTCCTGGAATTCCTTTAGTTCCATATTTAAACTCACCTAACAAGTGTGACCCAGAAGACTCTCCTAATCCTGTGCCACCCCTCCCTGGGAAAGCCACAGCCAAACTGACCCAAAGTCTTTTTTTCTATCCATAAAGTGCATAGACATATTTGTAGCCACTGAGTTTATATTGTTAGGCATCCTGCCTTTATAAAAATTCTCTGTTGCATCCATTCCATGCACATCATCATAATGTTCCTCATCCTGGGGGGCTGCTTCCAAATGGGGGTAGTCGGAAATTCTGCGGGAGTTGCAGACCGGGCAGTTGGGACAGCTGCTTGATGCTCAGTCCAGGTGACCTTTAGGCTGTCAGCACGGCGAGGGCGAGAGCGTGGAACCTGGCACTCGGACTGGGATGGTTTGTGGTGGCTGTGGCATCACAGAAAGCTGGACTGTGTTTTCCTTTATGTTGTGATGGTGTGTGTGTGTGTGTGTGTGTGTGTGTGTGTTTGGGGAGCACACCTGTGGCAGGGGCTGGTTGCTTTTCTCTTGTTCCCTTTGTTCACTCTTGGGGACACAGAGTGGCCTCTGACTCTTGTGTTTCCCACGGATACAGTCACTCACAGGCAGCGGCTCCAGCCAGGGTGGAGTCCTGTGTCTCTTCACCCAAAGGGCCGCCTGCTTGTCTTGCCTTGTAGAAACTCCAAGAGGAGGAGGAGGAGGAGGTGATGAGCCATACCAGCAAAGCCCCCACGACCGTCTTGGAGGAGCATTTCTGAGAGAGAAAGGTGGTGGCGACTCAGGGAACACGAACACCCCCCACCTCTTCCGTCAGCACAGCTCACCGCCAGCACAGAGGTCTTCGCTGGAGCAGCTTTTGGAGGGAACCGGCTGGAATATTTGTGGGTTGGATGGCAGTGCCTGTGCCTCCTGGAGCCCACTCAAGAGCTTATGTAGTCAGGGAAAAGGGCACCTTTCACCAAATGCAGACTCGATCCCGACCCCGACCCCTTCGGGTCATGGGAGCTGGCGTTGGGAGAGGCTGGTGGAGGACAGTGGGGTCAGTCCTGGCCTGGTGACTGCCTTCCCTCTTCACCTCCTCCCTTACGGAGAAAGCCTGGGAAATTATCACGGAAAGAAGCTTAATCAGGACATTAACTTTTCTAGTGTCTTATGACCCTCAGAAGCCCAGTTCTAAGGAGCGGCAGCTGCTCTGGCTGAGGGTCCTTCTTGGGTCATCACACTGACTGCTAAGTTCTCTGGGAGAACCATCAGAACCAGCTTCATCAGAACAAGCCCATTGGCTCTCTGGGCCTAGATTCTCCTGGCCTAACCTTGGGGTCTGTCACCAAACCCTCTTTCCTAAGAGCTGATCAAACCAAACATCAATAAACTCGAGCAAAGCTTTGTTGTGGCCAGGAAGGAGAAAGCGAATTGGCAGAGCTAACGGCCCAGGTGTGTGAGGGTGCTGGGGCCACCTTCTGAGTGTGTTTGTGAGGGCCCGGATTTGGGAACTCGGGTACTTGATTTGGGAACGGGAAGGATCTTGTCTACAAAAGAAGTCCTTGTCCAGGGACTTGTGTGTGTGTCACAGTCACCTCTGATGCCTTCACCTGGACACTGCCTTGAGAAACTCGGTCATCGGCCTAATTACTTGTTTGCTCCGGAGGGAGGGAGGGAAGTCCCAGCCAACTTCCTGTAACCTTACTGAAAAGTAATCTTGATTCATTCCAGCCCGAGAAACCCAAAGCTGCTTCTGAGCGATGAGACGAAAGGGCAGAGGGAAGGAGGCCCTTGAAATGGGAATTGAGTCGGCTTAAATTAAGTGTACCCCACCATTGGTGGGGACAGGATTTGCACACCCACCACCTTCTAGCAACAATCTTTATCAGATGTTCTAAATTTAAAGGGATTCCCTTTAAACCATCTCAAGCTGACCTCCTCCTCTGCCTAGCCTGCTGTCTGGCTCTACTCATGGGCTTGGGTAGTGTCTCCTGAAAATAAGACATGTTGGTATTTCCTCCTGTGCATTGAGCTGCAGTCATGACCACTGTGCTGTTCCCCTGTGGCCACTGTCCTGGCCTCAGCACGTTGGGGCAGCCTGTGCTGGCCGCGGTGCTGGGGTGCCTGGGCCACTGCCTGAGGGGAGCCAGGGCTGTGTGTGTACAGACACTTCTGGTGGGGGGAGTGAGGTAGGGGTGGAAGAGAGGTGAAGAGAAAGTGTACCTGACTTTTTGATGTGGAGAAAGGTGTTTACTCTTCAGCCCCTTAAAGTGTGTTAACCAAATGTTTACTGAATCCATTGCTTTATTTTAAAAACAATTTGTATTTTCTATTTGTAATACCAGATGTTTTACGGCAATAAAAGATTCTTCAAGTGGTCTGCCTTGTCATTTGGTGGGGCAGAGATGGCTTTTAGTAGTCCCCACGAGACTCGCACGTTTCTGAGGACTAAGGTGTGGGAAAGGGCCGGGGGTGGTGGGTCACGGCTGGAGGTGCAGCTCCCATGCCCTTCCGTAGAAGCGGTGTTACCATCCTGGTCACCTAGGTTATTTTTTAATGACGGGGCTGTCAAGGTTACTGTTGGACTACAAGGGAGACTGCACCTCAACGCCCAACACGTGACCCTGTTAGTGCCGCCTAAACAGCTCAGATAAATACAGCCAATTTAAGGTTAACATAAGCTAGTATAAGGGAAGCCATCTTATAGAGGGGAGCCATGTTGGAACTGTAAATGACCCTGATCCACCAGACACCCCCCTTTACTTGTCAGCAGTGCTTTGGTTTGCATGTAGCCTAAATAAGCACTTGCTTGTGAGAAATATGCATGCTCTGCTATTTTTGTAGCCCTGGCTTATACATAGACCTCTCTATTGCGATAAGGTGATACCTTTGTTCTTTAAGTTTTCCCAGGAATGTAACGACCTCTGGGAAAGAGCCCCGTGCTGGTATTCATCACCAGTGACAGGAGAAAGGGATGGTGTGGCATCTTAAAGACTACTATACCAGACGTTCAACATTCTGAGACCCTCCTTTTCAGCCCATTTGCTCTATATGACTGCTTCAAAATTTTGTAGTTTTAAGATGGTTCTTTAGGACATTAGTCAGCCATCTTCCCCCATGCTAGCAAGCTGTAATAAAAAACCCTTTCTCTCCTACCACCATGTCTCTTGATTGTTGGGTTGTCTTTGTTGCGAGTAGAAGAGCCCTTTTGGTGGCAACAACCCTGAAATGAAGACGGTTCACTGAGTGTGGCTGCTGAGAGAGCCCACTGTCGATTCTGGCTCTGCTTCACAGGGTGGCCGAGGTGTTTGTTCTACAATCACCCCAAGCTCGCAGCAGCCTGCTCTGGCCGGAGTCTGCGGTCCCGGCCTCTGCAGTTCTGTTACCATTTTTCTCCTAAACTGTCTTACTGCCACTCTCCCTCCCAATCGCGTTTACCTTATGGCTGTCACTTGGATGTGCTGCTGCCGTCAGTTTTCTGTACGTTTCTTCCCTAGAGAGTTGCACTGCGCCTGTGGCCTTCTGGCACCATATGTGTTAGCAATTCTTAGCTGGAGAGAGACAACATTACCATTCTCCTCTAAATCATCTGGGAAGGGAGCCAAGCCTGGGCTGTTAAAGAAATGTAATAGTCATAGTGTCTGCTAAATACTCTACGTCCTCTTTTTAGATCCTTTGGGGTCTTTATTTTTCTGGAATCATACTTCTAAGATGCATGCCTCAAGGATTCAAATCATCTTATACTTCATTCATTCTTTCTTAGGTGGGCTTCATGGGGATCTCCACTCAAATGTTCACTCTCTGTAAGATCATTGCTTTTCTTACTGCCTCCTTTTCTTACCTGAATAGTTGCTAAGGGAAAGATAGTTCTTATCACTGGGCTATTTTTCTAGATGTGCTATTGTGGGAATGTGAGGGCTGGAATTGCTGCACCCACTTTTGGCGCCATAAAGGAAGCCAGCGTGAGGATGAAGCCAACACAGGAGGGCAAAGCTGAAAAGACTGTGGAGAAATGGAGCTGAGTCCTGATCAAACCATTCCTGAAGCCTATATCCTCTTAATTTCTCAGTTTTGTGAGCGAATGTTATCTTTATTGTTTAAGCTAGTTTAAGGTAGATTTTGTTCCTTTCACCTAAAGAGCCTTAACTGATAGAGAATTCCCAGTGTACTCAAGTATCAACTTTAAGCTTCCTATGATCCCTTACAAGTCTCCTGCCTCTTTCTGACCTATCTCCTACCTTCTACTTCCTAACTTCACCATACCATAGTTACACTGATCTTACTCCTTGAACAAGACTGGTCCTACCTTCCAGATGCTGCTCCCTCTGCCCTAAACGCCTGCCTCATATCTGAAGACATCTGCTGTCTGGGCATTCTGGTCTAATCTCAAACCTCACCTCCTCAGGAGGCCTTTCCTGATGATCTAACGCATGCCCTCCTCCCCATTTTGATCACAACTCCTTGTTTTCTAGAGTCCTTATCACTGTCTGAAGTTGTTCTCTCACCTGTTGACTTGTTGATCAGGTTTCCCTGACGACAAGGTAAGGGCCATGGGAGCAGGTACATTGCCTGGGCTGTCTGTCTCTTTCCCATGTGTCTGGCAGGGAGTAAGTGTTCGATAAACACTTGCTGAAACAATGAATGGGCTCTCAAGTCTACACACTGTGTGGGAGGCCCAGCCAATGGGAGCCTCTCGGGTTGTGTCTGGAGGGCACCTGTCCGCTTCAGCGCATTGTCCTGGGAGGTCAGTGTTCTCCTTTTCAGGGTCAGGCAGCTGTGTCTTCTGTGCTGCCTCGTGCTGTTTTCTGCCTCTGCTTTCTCAAGAATCTGTTTCTTCCATAGGAAGAAAACAAAAAACGGTCCTGACTATGCAGTTGTGAACTCAGAATCTTGAAGGTGAGGAAGGAGAGGAGGAAGAGTTGACTTCAAGAGAAATGAGCAAGTGAAAAAGGGGGCTGGAGGCAGCCAGGTGTGCCTGGGTCCTGAGCTGTCCTACTCACTCTGGTGTCTTTGATCCGTGGAAAGCTGTGCTTCTCCTTCGCTCGGGCTCAGAGGAGGGCATGAGCGCTCTTGGCTTAGGGGAGGTCAAAGTACAAGGACTGATCAGAACAGAAGAGTTTTTCTATTTATCACAAAATTTGTTACACAAACACAGCTGAACAGAAGGTCTAAAACAGCTCCGACTCTTCCAACCCTGATCCACGTGTAGATACAAGGATGTGAGCCACGCTCACTCACAGAGGAGCCCTTCTCAGAAGAACTGCCTGTCCCTCGGATGATTCAGAGTCTTGGATGCTGCAGCAGAGAGGAGGCCAACATGGGTGGACGACCTCTGAAAACAGCCCTTGGTGTCAGCTGCTCTGGGTGAGGCAGCAGCTTTAAGTTTCACAGTTCACGTGTTCCCATCAAGGATTGAAAATAAAAGGAAAAAGGCAGAAGGCTGGAAAAGTGATCCTGGAAGAGGTGGAGGTGGGAGAAGGGCACACAGTGAGCTTCGGAGGTGCTGGCAATTTCTTGATCTAGATGGAGGTACAGCGTATTCACTTTAAAATGATTCTTTACCTTGTACATACATGTTGTATACTACTTTGTATGCCTGTTTTATCTTAAAAATAATTAAATGTAACAAAAACCAAAATGTATGGGGCTGGCCCGGTGGCGCAAGCAGTTAAGTGCACGCACTCTGCTGCGGCAGCCCAGGGTTTGCGAGTTTGGATCCCAGGCACGCACCAATGCACTGCTTGTCACACCATGCTGTGGCGGCGTCCCATATAAAGTGGAGGAAGATGGGCATGGATGTTAGCCCAGGGCCAGTCTTCCTCAGCAAAAAGAGGGGGATTGGCAGATTTTAGCTCAGGGCCGATCTTCCTCGCAAAAAAATAAAATAAAAAAAGCAAAATGTAAAAGGCTAGACATGGGTAAAGGGGCTGATGACAGAGCGGAGAAGAAGAAATTAAAGAGCAGAGAGGATGAAGGCACAGGACAGCGAAGGTGGAAGACGAAGTCTTGGAGGTGGTGGGGGTGGCCTCAGTTTCTCTTCTTCTGTCTGGATACTGGTTCAACTTCCAGGTACCGGAGCCCAACTAGCATTCCCAGGATTGAGAAACCTTGAATACAGAGAACAGCGAACAGACGTGAACACAGCGCTTTCTTAAACCCTTGTGGGTCTGCTCTCCGGCCCCGGCTCTAGGGCTGGGCCAGTTCCTGTGGGGGGTCTAGGGTGGTTGGAGGCTTACTTGCCACCATCAGGGGTGCCAGGACGCCAATCGTGGGAGCCGCGGTCCCATATACAAACACCTCGGAGAGGAAGTGCCCCAGGGCGAGGAGGAAGGTCCAGAGCGTGAGGTGGTAGAGCCTGCAAGGGAGCAGACAGAAATGGGAACTGAAGGGCCTGCGTGCTCAGTGCAGAGGAAAAGGAGCCGTCAGACTGGATACACCCAGAGAAAAACCCAGGCAGTGACTATCGCGGAAGGAAAAGAGACTTGGTCCTGAGAACGACCTGGCTGCTTGATCACATCAGTTTATTCCCTACTGGGGCAGAACTGAAGGTTTCAAAGGCTACACTGAGAGGAGAATGGTCCCGGCTTCCAGAATGATCTCCAAGTCTTAGCAAGGTGGTGAAGCCAGCTACAGCAAAGCTGAGTCTGGACAATGGCAGTCCCAGGCAGTGTAGACGATTTGGGATCAGTCACGCTTACATATTCTCCTTACTCAAACTGGCTTGCCTCTGTAGTCCAAGCCCACCCGGCAGATGTTTGGCCAGGGGCTGGTCAGTGCTCCTGTCATGGATGCCACAGAATGCAGGGCCTGAACGGGGGATGATCAGCAAGGACCTCTCTGGGCCTTTCAGATGCTCTCGCAATGTGGGCTGGTTAATCTGTGTCTCAGCCTAGGACAATGGTGAGGTGGAGGACACAGTGACAACCTCACAGGAAGAGAACTTGTTCTTCGGCTTTGATAAAGAGGTGGGGAAGAGACAGGTTACAGGGTGATTAACCGCCTGGACTGCTGCTATCTTTTTTTTTTTAACTCTGAAATTTTTAAAATTATGAAATACTTCAAACATACAAAAAATTATCGATAATAAAATACTATAATTTTGCTATGCGACCAGCACCTGCTCCATCAAATCTGAACATTTTGACATTTCTGCTTCAGATACTTTTTTCTAAGAAATAAAATATTACAGGGCCGGCCCCGTGGTGTAGCGGTTAAGTGTGCGTGCTCCGCTGCTGGCGGCACATGTTTTGATCCTGAGCGCGCACCAACGCACCACTTGTGAGGCCATGCTGTGGCGGTGTCCCATATAAAAAAAGTGGAGGAAGATGGGCACAGGTGTTAGCCCAGGGCCAGTCTTCCTCAGCAAAAAAAAGAGGAA